GCGTCGCAGTAGTCATGTGACTCGATGACGCAACAACAGTATATGTAGTTATATATATTCATTTAACAGGTTAATTTTTAGATTTGATCTAAGATGGTAGGTTACTTTGGTTGAAAGTTCATATTAAGAACCTATATTACTACCATATATTCTGCTGGATTAGAAACAAAAAATAATGGAATGTTTGATACTCAAGCTCATTACTAAGATTTAAACAGAAAAATAAACAACAGCCCTGCTGATATAATACAAATGATTCTGATACATGTTGAGACATTCCTTTTATTTTTCCAATATAGGTATATTTTAATATACCAAGTCTTATTGGCATTCAAAATGTGTTGTCAAGGTTACTTTGGGTAACTTCAACATTCAGGTTGTATTTTCTGGTGAAACTGATTTCCCTTACAGTAAAGAGATAAATTTGTAGATAACAGGAGATTCAACATGATATTTATCACACAGTAGTTTATAGTTCACTGAATAACTGAGTTTGTGAGAATGGAACAGAGACAGGGCACAATGTAAACACAATGAACAATCTTTATTACTATCAAAAAACACTGGACAATTTCCTTTACTGGATCTTAAAACCATCTCAGGTTAAATCCTAAGCTAAATTTCCTTTGCTAAGATCATGTATGAAACTGTTTAAACATTTTGTTATGTAACTGAAAGGTAACACTAGACTTATCCAAAGCCTAGCCATGCAATTGGTTATTCTCATTCAAATATAACAGAACCTGGAGGCATCACATGACCTACTATCAGAAGACACTGCTGTTGACCTTCATATAAAAATACTGTGCAGCATTACAACCATATCCTAACCTGAGCAGACCAGGCATTACTTCAAGAGAATGACAAAGAAAATAGAAGCAGCCAGAATGAAAGCAAGTTAATGATCTTCTTGACCATGTGTTATGTGAAAACTGCACGTATCTAGAATAGCCGATTGATTTTGAAAATTCTATATTAAAATAAAAAGGTAGAAAATGTATGGTACTCTTAAACTCCACATACACTCACCTTAACAATACATAGGCAAGAATGGAGAATGTCCATATTGTTACATTATTTTAATCTGAAGGATAAATACTAGTTTTCTTTGTTTTAATAGCAAGATTTACCAAACTAGAAATCTTAAGTTTTGCTATGACATTTGCTGGTGTATGGCTTTGAAGAGTAAGTTTTTATTTGCCAATAGTCCATTTGTAGTAGTGTGTTTTATAACTACTTCCTCCTCCCTTCTTTTCTTTACCATTTCATTAGCAGCAACCACTTTCTCACAATACTGTACAGAGTATGAGAAATTTTAACATACACTGTAAACCTTGTTAAGTTGGATGTTTTTACAAATTGCTCTTCTCTCAGTTCTTTTGTACTAGTGGGTCACATTTCAGGTTCTACACTAATTCTTTATTCTCCATATAGGACTCATCATAAAGCTCTAAATAACACAAGAAGAAGACTGAAATAAAGAATAAACTTGAGAGTTTCAACCTATGCATGTCTTATTTCACTGATCTCAATTACTTTTACCTCAAAGTTATTAACATGATTTTTGAGAAACATTTCAAAATGTAAGAGAACTATTTATTTTGTTTCTGAATACAAACTTTACAAAGGTATTTTTACTAAAAAAAATGAAATTAGTACTTGATTACATTACATTTGAAATAAATTCAAAGAAAATACAAAGGGAAACTCAAATTTCTCACTTGTTTCATACATGATCTTAACAAAGGAAATTTAGCTTAGGATTTAATCTGAGATGATTTTAACCAACTGAAATAAAATCTCATAAAAAAAAATGTTTTGTCATTTTCCATTTATTTTTGAATTAAATAAATATAAAATTAGTTACCTGTGTTACGGATTAATAAATCCAAATGAAAAATAAATACATACAAACTCAAGTGCTTAAATAACTATAAAGCATCTTACCCATGCCAGTAACTGCTCGATGTGTAATATGACAGAATGACCATTGACATCACACTAAACAGCAAGGCTGCTACAAGACACAGTTTGATAGCAGGTTGTGAAGCACTGCAAAAAAGCCGTATGGTATCATGGTTAATTGCTGGCCTCTCCACTACCATATTCTTGATTCCTCAGTTGTAGATTTTTTGACCCCTAATGCTGCCTCTTTGTATACAGCAAGCTTCTGGCTTAAGCCAACACCTAATGAGCTGCCAAGTCTGTGTCATCTATCTCAACATTCATGACACCCAGTTCCAAAAGTAGGAAGTTTAGAAATCAAGCTGTTGTTCTTATCTGGAGATGAACCTGTCTCTTCCTCGGCAACACAAGTGAATTAAAGTATCAGAGTGATCCATGGTAAATTTATACTCGAAACGCAGCTTATCTGGTCTCTATATATAAAAGAGTTGATCACTAACTGTTGATAAACTGTAGATGTAAAATAAATATTCAGAATAAAACTTATATTTTACTACAGTTTTATGTGTTTTAACAGTCAAATACTAAGATGTTTAAAAACAAATAGATTTAGCAATCATAACAACTAAAAGTTCTACATATAATAACAATATCTCTGGATCTGATAATTATAAACTCATTCACATGTAACAATAATAATGATAATGTGCAGGATCCGTCAGTAATAAAGTGCTAGTTTTTGATAATATACCCTCAAATATACTTGAAACTCTTGTCTACCACAAGTGTGGTACATGGGTGCAAGACTGTTTTTGATTTTGAATAATGATATATTTATTTATTAAAATCAGAAGTTACTTGCAGGCTTATTTTAAAATAGCCTTAGAGCAAGGATAAAAAAAAGAGGAGATAGATTTGTTACTATTACATACATCTCAAAATGGAAAAACCAGAACAATTGCATATTTTCAATGAAATTGGTTGGCATGGCAAAAGAGGCTCTTCTGGGCAAAAATGAAATATATGGTAACTTTATCAATAATTACTTAATAAATATAATTTGAATGAATGATGAACATTCACTGATCTTTCATCACTGAATGCGTACTAAAGCTTTAGGTTTAAAAGGCATAAAAACTACAGATACACACAGAGAATAAAACAAATGGTTTAAATCGACAGTTCAATAGATTTTAGAATAAGACAGTTGTATTAATACAAAACCTCAGTTCTACAAAAGTTAATCCTACTAACTTATCAAGTGGAAGCAACAGCAATACTAAAGTTAATATTAAATACATCTTACATCAAAAATAAAATATTGCCACAATAGATACTTACCTTTGTTATTCATAAAAGGTTTCTACCTAATAATGTTGAAGAATGAGAAACCTGACAGAGTCTGCATAAACTAGTCTGTTGTTTTGGAGGTCTTTGAATACTTGTATGAACTAGTATAATTTTGTGAGGGTCTTTCAATGTTTGAAGAGCTAGTCTTCCATTATGAAGGTTTTCTAATGTTTGCACGAACTTTTGTTTTTGCTAAGTACATGAGTGATTATTTTAAAACATCTCCATTCTAGCTTCCATGAACTTGAGTGCACATAAAGTGAATACATTGTCATGGTTTCAGATAACAGTCTTTTTTTTCCTTTCACTTAAAAGATGAAAACATCAGCATTAAAAGAACTACCTGTACAGGTAATATTTGTTTAATAACATAAGTAAATACTCAATAGTATATATTGTATCGATGCACTACACACATATATACATTTGAAATTGAAACCAATAATTTGTCAAACTATATCACGTTTTTAAAGTGGAAGGAATATCAGGTGTTGTAGCAAATCAGATCATATTTCAGTAGTTATCCTTTACTGTATATCAGGTGTTGTAGCAAATCAGATCATATTTCAGTAGTTATCCCTTACTGTATATCAGTTGTTGTAGCAAATCAGATCATATTTAAGTAGTTATCCTTTACTGTAATAGTGAAGACAGTGGAAATAAAACAGAAAGATGGAACTAGACCTCAAAGCTGTTGATAAAAACTGTAAAATATAGGAAATAGACATGTTCTCTATCTTCTCAAGGTGTGAAACTGTATTCAAAGAAATTTAAACTATAAGGTGTCTGAAACTCTGGCTATGTAGGAGTTATAAGTTATTTCTCAAAGACTAAATTCATATGCAAGAAATGACAGTGATATTATGTTGCATCTTGTCCACTAGGAATGATGAGAAATTTGTTTTGATATACTGTGGAATCATAAACTGCATACGAACTAACATACATTTTATTTGTGCTTACGAAACTGGACTTTTTAGACACCTTGTACATTTCCTAGAGTAAGACAACCCAAACTGTTACTGTATCAGTGCAAGTGAAAAACTGCTATAATTCACTCTTCCCAGGGTCATACCCTTGGGGTCAAATGACCACCTCATTATTCTAACAGGTCTACTAACTTCTAATTTTTTAAAATAAACACTAGACTTTCCTGGAAATTACTTACATTTTTTGTGTAAGAGAAAAAGTTAATATTTTTTTGGAAAATGCACCCCCCTCTCTACACTGTAGTGCACTACATCCCTGATTCCATAAATGGAAAATAATGCATCTTTATTCAGGTGTGTTCAGGTAACTGCATGATTATACATTTGCTTAGTTGAAAATTTCAAAAATACAATGTTAAAAATGTGATATGTTGACACTCATATCTCACTTTCCTACAGCAAGTTTCATACTTACAAAATACTTCAAAAACTACTGTCATGATCCACCTTCTCTCTATAGCTAACAGATTAAAAAATTGGATCACTAGTATCAAGAGGCATCTCTGCTTCATGTAATGATCACAAAATAGTCTCATACACAGAATGATGCAGGATGCAATAAACTATTACATGAAAAAATTTGTAGCTTCCTTGACCAAATGTAGCTATAGACAGTAAGACTTAGGGTTGAATTAGAACTTTGGAAAAATGCCACTTCAGTCAAATTTGCCCTGATGTTGAAAGAGCTAAGACTAGTTTAGAAGTCTAGTCCTTATTATAGTGTATACAAAGTTTAGTCTGTTAATCATGCATGTGTTTCCTCTTTAATTAGTCAGGTAACCAATTTTCACTTTATTCAAAGTAAAGTTTTATTTTCATCTTCTTTTTATTAGATAAAATCTCTTTTGTTTGCTTTTTTTATTTCAATATAGTTTATTTTGTTCCATCCAGTCCACTTTGTTAGTTTCCTAGCAACCAAACAGCCCTTTCCTGTCAGACAATCAGCCAGCATTTCTTTCATTCTCCTGTTTTCTCTGTGAAATAAAGTGCCAATGGTTTATTCAAATTCACACTGTTGTCTCTTTCATTTCACCTACTACAAACACTACACTTATTTTTCCAAGTAATAGATCTATTAAGCCATAGGATTTGTGCATAGAAGTCCACCAGTTTGGTAAAGATCCCAGCATTTCATTTGTAAAGATAAACATTTGTTTTCTTGTTTAACATTTATCCTAAGAACTGATAAGTTCAACCAAAGAAGAATATGTTAACCTCACCATATCTGCCATATTCAATACTGATAAACCATTTTCCCAATACCCTAGCTTCTCAAAAAAAAAAAAAGAGTGATGATATATATATACATATATATGTTTTCCTCAAAAAATGTACATTTAATATGACCCCAAAAATTACAAAATCTGGTGATTACCAAATGATGAATGCATTTATTTAAAGACTAATGATGAAAGTTTATGTTCCCATAATCCCTTTTCACACCATCTATTCATCATGTTTCACATTTACCAATAACTGCCTGCATTCGAACTGCCGTATTGTTCATCACTTCAGGAAATGTTCTGTATCTCCTGGCAGATATTGTCCTTCAGCTCATTAATAGTCTGAGGCTTGGGATTAGCATAAATTCCGTCTTTTAGATAAGTACATAAAAAGAAATCAGTCAGTTGGAAATTTTGTCACGAAGGTAACACCTTGTTTCCCTGACTGTATGAGGAGTTACCCTGTCCTGCTGGAACCACTGTGTTCAAATGCAAATACCTCAATTTCTTTGCCAAGACAATTGGCATAGTTCAGGAAGGTAAAATTTCTCAATCATTTGATGATAGTTAACCTGGTTAACAGTGACTGATTTCTCTTCATGAGGATGTGGAATGGCCTCCATATTTGCCTGATTTGTCATTTAAAGACATATTTTTATGGTGTTACCAAAAGAAAGAATTTATGCTAACGTCAAGCGTCGGATTATTAAGGAACTCAAGAACAATATCTGCCAAGAGATTTGGAACATCCCCTACAAATATTCCCTGAATTGATTAACAATATGGCAGTCCAAATGCAGGCTGTTATTGGTACACACAGAGTGTACATTGAACATGTGGTGTGAATAGGGCTTATGGGAACATCATTAGTCTTTAAATAATGCATTAGTTATTTGGTAACCACCAGATTTATATATATATATATATATATACATCATCAGTTTTCATGAACAATGACTATTATGGTGTGAACCAGGTCAAGCAAGTAAATTGTAATTATTATCAATTTCATTCACATTTTACACACATCAAATTTTTAGAGTAAGAATGAATAACACAACATTATTTTATTTTTAACACTAATTATTTATTTTATATTTATTATTTATTTCCATTAACTTTACCATCATTCACAAGAACTGTCAGACCAGCAAGCTAGTTTTCTTATTCTTTGAGTGGGTCAAGCAACTACAGTATTAATAGAAGAAACCCATATTAGTAATTCAAAAAACAAGAGTGAAAGCAAAGGAAAGTATGCTACATGTCAACCATACACCTTCCATACCCAGTGCTGACAAGGCCTTACACCCAGTAACAGTGCTCATCAGGATAAGTGGGTTACAACAGACATACTTTTTAATTTTCTCTTTCAGTTAATTTTATTTTTCATTAAGCATTTCCTAAAGTTTCTGCATTATATGATACTTATAAGTTACCCATAAAGCATCAGTGTACCTAAATACCACAGTATCACCATAAACACAACTTACATTTTATTGTTAATGACCTTTGCCCTTAAAAGTATACTATTCCAAGAATATTCTTACAGATATTGGAATGTTAGATAACTATACAGTACTTCACTCAGAGTTAAAGTTACAAAAACAAAGAACTGTACTCACTATATGGGCTTTGGACGATAAGTTACTGTGAAGTCACACACTCTCAGCAAGAAAAATATATGTTACATATTTATATCATAGATTAAGTTCAGTACGAAAAATCTGCTGTGATATTTAAAGTAAGAACAAAGTTTTCTGTGGCCTAGCTGAAAATTTTTTAACTATTCTGGAAATCTGAAAGTCTTCTTATAGTTCACCAAATGTCATGTCTGAAACAAGATTATTCTCTTCCATTACATGTAAACAGTGGTAAGTAGGTGAGTTAAACTTCTCCGAGTAGAAAAATGTTCCGCATCACATGGTTACCCAAAAAATTATTCACCACCATATATACACATACAAGAGATTATGTCCGTATTTTCTTGACATGTGTCACTAAAGGAAGCTTTAAACACAAGTTTGCCCATGTTCATTTTCTTACCCACTGCTAAACGAGTTTTAGAAAATAATAAAAAGAAGCACTGTTGTTCTGAATTTATATAACTCTGTCAGTATTTACTGTTGTGAGGTTTGAAATTCGTCTTCAAAAAATTGTTTAATGTTACTGATGTCAAAATTTGTTGGGCTTAAAACTGCCTATTTCATATATATATATATATATACACACACAGTGTGGGCAAAATGTCTAGGCATCCCGTTCAAATAAAGAAAGTGTACATGAAGGAATATTTTTTGCATATTGACACAGATGAACAAAAGGTTGAATCCACTTCTAAAATACAAAAAAGTAATTGTAACCATGACCTTTAAATAAGAAGGGTGTCCAGACTTTTTGCCCACCCTGTATATATATTCCTTTCAAAATGAAGAATCCTATGATATTATAAATTACAATGATAAAATGGTTAAGACATTATTAAAGAAAAAACAAAAACAAACTATTAGACCTCAGTGATGTTAACGGGTAAACTCATTGAAACATTTGAAGTTTTATTCCTACTCTTCTATAAAATTTTGCTTTTAGCTAGTTTTTACTCTTGCTTTTTAATTTTTTAAAGAAAGTTTGTAATATCAAAAACAAGTGTCTGTTGCTCGCTCTTGCTAGCTTATTTCTCTTAATTAGGCTTGTATGAAAACTTCCACCAAAACAACACCCACTTCTAAGCACTTGGGTTATTCTTATCAGATCAAATACGGACATTCACTCTTACAGTACCTCTATAGCCTCAAAGTGGGGAGCACATAAGGCATGAGCCATCGGATTCATACATAGCCCAAGTAAGCTAACCAGAAGATAACACCC